TAAATATTGACTATTTTAATAATTTAAATTAATATATTAAAATTAGCTTTTATAAATATATGAAAATTATATTTTTCTAATATAAAAAAATAAATATCTTATCTTAATTTATACTCTTTTAATTAATATAATTTCAATTCATTTCTTTTTATAAAATTTAGTAAAAAAATTTATATACTAATTTTATTAATTATATTATTATAATTTCTAATAATATAAATATTAATAAACATAATAGTTAATACTATAATATTTTAGTTTTATTAAATATAAATTTAATTAAAAAAATAATATTAATAATTATACCAAAAGTATTATTATTCAATTATTATTTTTATTTTTTTCAATAAAAATAAATTATAAAAAATTTTTAAATGATAAATCTAAAATTTTTTTATATTTATAAATATAAAAATTTTTTATTCTGATTTTCTAAAAATTAAATATATGATATATAATATATAATATAAAATATATATATATATATTATATATATATATATATATATATATATTAATAATAAATCGTTATACATTATTTTTATTAATTATTAAAATAGTTTTAGATATATTTTAAAAAAATACTAAATAAATAATAATTAAACATTTTAAATCTATATTTATTTGAATAAAAATTTTAAAATGACAAAATGACAAATTTTAAAATAAAAAGTTAAATATTTCATATATTTTTCTTAAATAATAAAATTTAATTTAGCAAATAGTATATTAATATACTATACTAATTTTTTATTAATAATTACTATACTGTTTTTTTATTAATAAAAAATATTATAATTATATTATTAAAATTTTAAAAAAAATTAAATAAAAATTATTTAAAACTTGAATTTATTAAAAATTAATTAATGATTTATTGTATTAATCATTATTTAATTTATCAAATTTAAAGTATTTAAATGTTTCACTTATTTTGAAAATAAATATTATAATGTAATTATGCTTAAATTATATTAATATATATATATTTCAATATTACATATCTTATTATTTAACTTATTAGTTATCAATAAAATCATTTCCATAATTATTTTAATAAACATTTGGATATTAAGCAATTTAATTTTGTAACATGTAATTATAATAATTATAATATTATGTCTAAAACGTATTCGGCATGCAATATTATTACTAGTTAATTTATGGAATTATGTACAGTTCTTTATTATTAAAATTACATAGACAGTAAAAATATTAGTCATTTTAATTATAATTAATATTTTAAATAGAATCAACCTTAAACTCAACTTATTAATTTGAGTATTAAAAATTTTATTACAATTAATTAGCTTAATCATTATTTTAAAATTTTATGACATTATTTTAATTGACTTGATTTTTAACTTCTTTATTTGTTTAATCATAAATATCTAGTGTTTCTTAATTAGTTTTTATTTTTTCTGTTTATTACATTATAAACTCTTATTTTATTATATTTTAATTATTATTATTACGGGCAATATTTTATGATTTTCTATATGAATTTCTGTTATTTGAATTAGGTTTTTTTATCTTAGTAGAATTATGCTAATTATATTCTGAATTTTATTATTAATTAATTATTTATTCCATTGTATATAATATTTATTCATAATTATCATCTTTTATATTGTATGTTTTATTCATAAGTTTCTTTTATAAAGAATTGAATTTATTCTTCACTTAATTTTCAGTTCTTCCTATTAGTTTCTTACCTATAATGGACCATTTTTTTCCTATTTATAAAATTAATTTTAGCAATTACAAATATTCAATAGATGTCCATTTATCACTATTGAGCATAATATTATATTTATTATTTATAATTATATAGTTTTTATATTTTACTTTCTTAATTCAGAAGTATGATAATTATTATAATGTTCTCTACATTACTTTGGAGTTCTGTAAATTGTTTTATCTGTTAAATAATATAGTTATTTAGCAACTTTAACCCAATTTTTTTAACCTCCTTAATTTTTAAAAATTTCTGGTAAAAGTTTATTTTCTAAAGTTGTCCAAGGATGCTATTAAACTGACTTTTTATTTAATTTAAGCCATTTGAATAAACAATTCTCTTTCGATTTTCCAGGTATCATGATAAAAATTTTTTCCCAATGATCTACTTCATTATCGTACTTATTTTTTTTTTAAAAAAAAAAAATTAATAAATTTTTCATTTAATTTTTTCCATAAATAATTTTTTTATATAATATATATATATTAAAATAATTAAAAGAAATTCAGTAAAAATTGATTTTTTTTATTTTGTACTAATAGATTTTCATTTAGATTTTTAAATTAACAGTACTTAACAACACACCAAACTAATATATAAATATCATCTTTATTCCAATTTTTTTTTAACATTTTATTTTATTGTTATCTTATTTTTTTTTTTGTAATTATTTAATGGAAATATAAATTTACATATTATTAAATAGTCTACAATTAATATATTATAATAAAATTATATTTTTATCTTTATTTTTAATATTAATATTAATATTATGATATTTTTTTTCCCATTTTGTATTATATAATTTATTTTACTTCTAAACATTTTTCTAATATAAGCTTATTATTTCATTATATTATAGCCCTACTCCAACCCTTAACTTTGGGAAAAGGCTTAGATTTAGTTATTAATATTTTAAATCTCCTAGTTATTAGGTAAAATCTAAAAATAGCTATAGACTTTATTAAAGGTGCTTATCTAAATTAATGTTTTCATATTTATTTTACTGTATCATTTTTTTTATTTTTTATATTTTTTTATATATTAAATAATTATATTTATTTATGATTTATTGATTTTTTATTTTGTATAAATATGGCAAATTAATAATATTTGATTTTAATATAATCAAAATATAAAATATTTATAAATAAAAAGAAACAAATTAAATTTATATTTTTTTTTTTCCTTAATATATAGAAAAAAATAATATATATAATTAATAAAAAAAATATTATTTTACACTTTCTATAACATTAAAATATTTCTATATTAATATAAATAATATTTATTTCATTTATAATATATAATATATAATGTTATTTACTATTTTTTTATAAAAAGTTATCTTAATTTTTCGTTTTTCGTTTTTCTTTTTCTATTTTATATTTTAAATTTTTTGTTTATACTTATTTTTAATGCCTTTTAAATAAGAAATTAAAGAGCTTTATGGAGTTTAAATAATATTTTTTTTTTTATATTTATGAATTTTAAAATATAATAAATATTAAATTAATAATATTTAAGATATTAAATAATATTAAAATATCATTTTATGTTTAAAATTTGCACGTATGCTTTAAAAATTTCAAGTTAATATTTAAATATTATTAAAATTTTAATAATTAATGTATAAATATTAAAATTTGAAAATAAAGTTTAAAAAAAAATATTTTAATGGATTAAGCTTTTTATATTGTGAAATCGAATATAATTTTTTAATTTACTAAAAATATTAATATTTAAATATTAAAATTTATATTTAACTTTAAGTATTTAAGTCTTAAAAATTTTATAATAATTTTAATAATATTTTTTTGATTTTTGTATTATATTTAAATATTTATAATAGTTAAATAAGCAATTTGACAATTTTAGTAAAAACAATATTTTTCAAAATTTTTTAAATGGTTAAAATTATAATTAATAATTATATAATTAATAATTATATCAAATGATTAAATTAATGAATAAATTATATACTAAAAATTTTCATACTTTCATAATATTAATTATTTAAAATCATTTTTAAAAAAAAAGTACTTGAAATTTATTAGAAAAGTTGATAACCAATATAAAATTTCGATTTATTTCAATAATTTATTGTTTCTACTACTATAATATTTTAAAACTTACAATTAAAAAAAAAATATTTATAAATTACAAAAAATAAAGAAAATCTGAAAATATAAATTTAGAGTATAATTTATATGTAAAAAATAAAAAAATAATAAAGATAATTTAATTTTTTAGACAAAAATTTATAAATTAGGAATATATCTAATAATTTAAAAGAATTTTATATGATCATTTTATAAAAATTAAAATTATTTTTATAAAAATAAAATTATGTTTTTAAGTCAAAATAAATAATATAATATTTTTATTATATTTAAAAAATGTTTAACTTCATCTATTATATCTTTTTTTTTAAACAAATTATTTTATTGCTAATGGATATAAAAAAAAAATATGCGTAATTAATTTTAAAAATTAATAATAATGTATATATATATATAACCATATATTATTTAAAATAATGATTTCTTAAATATGTATATTAAATATATTTAATTATATAAATAATTAAATACGTAATTATTTTGATCACAAATATATAATATAGATATATATATATATATATATATATATATATATATATATATTTATTAAAAATAAAAAAAAATTAAAAATAAATTTTTATTTATCAAATAATAATTGATTATTTTTTATAAATAAAAATAAAATAGATATTTTGATAATATAATATTAAATATATATAATTATATATTATTATATATTATATTTATTTATAAAAATTTTAATTTATTTTATTAAATTTAAATTAATAAATTATATAATTAATTAATTAACTAATTTATATATTAATGAATTTTTTTATATATTTAATTTTAAAATAATATAATATAATTTATTAATTAAATTTTTAATGTTAAATATTATTTTAATTTTTTATAAATTTTTATATCTCTTATAATTAATATTTATAGTTTAAATTTAATAAATATACTCTTACTATAAAACATTTATATATATAAAATTAATATTTTAATTTATATTTTAAATTATTTACTTGAAAATAAATTATTTAACTTATTTTAATAATAAAAAATTATATTCTATAGAAAATATTAATAATATAGTTTATATATATTTTAATTTATTTAATTATTTCTATTTTTTTTATAATTTATTTTTTTAAAATAAAAAGTATTTTTTTTATTAGCAAAAAAGAATAAAAATCAATTATTTATAAATTTTTTTAAAAACTTTTTATGAAAATCACTTCTAACATTATCATTAATAAATCTTGGTTTTTCATCAATTAATTTTCTTGCTTAATTTTTAAAAACAGTCTCATCAAACCATCTTTTTTTTTATTATTATAAAATAATTATATATGTATTTTTTACTTTCTTTTTAATGAATATTCCTAAGATTTATCTAATAAAGGATTATGTTTAAGTAAGTTTTATTGCCTTTCTTTTTCTAATTATTCTTCTTTTTATTTTTATTTTTATTTTTCTTCTAATTCTCTTTATTCTTTAATTTTTTGATATTCTTTCATTAATAATTCGTCTTCGTCTTCACTACTACTATCATTTTTTTTTAAAAAAAGCATTAATTAATATTTTATTAATAATAAAATATATATATTTACTCATCTTCTTCTTCATCTTCCTATTATTATTATTATTATTCGGAATCTGAAGAAGATTATCCGAAATCTACATCATCTGCATCTTATGGGAAAGGGTTTATTATTTAATTTTAACTGTTTTTTTCTTCTATTTATTCATCCTCGCTTTCACTACTACTGCTTCCATACTATTATAATTACTATTATTTTTTTTCATCATTATTTTTAATTTTCTTTATTGGTTTAGGTTCTTTAAATTCTATTTTTTCTACATCTTCATTTTTCCTATTTTATTCTTCTTTATATTATGATTCTCTTTATAATAACTCGGCCTTAAAATCTTTATATTTTAAATCTCTTTGACTTTATTAACCATCTTGTCTTACTTTTAATGTCATGTGGCCTGGTAAATCCTTATTTTTATATTTATTTTTCCTATTTTTTTACTATTATATATTATTACTCTTGATGAATATGATCTTGTAGGAATTGTTATCATATTTCCTCCTTATTCATTTCCTCCTATATATATATATTTTAAGTCTCATTATTTTTTTATTTAAAATACCCATAGCGGGTTTCCATGTAGGTTTATGAGCTGTTGTCATTTTTTTTATTATTAATTTTTTGTTTGGTTATTTAAAATAAGAAAAATATAATAAAAATAAATATACAAAAAAAAAAAATTATAATTATAAATATTTAAAGTAAAATTAAATTAATAAATGATAAAAATAATAATTTATTAAAAAATAAAGATTTATAGAAATTTTAAAACATAATTTTTTTATATTTTATTATTATTTTTTTTACTTTTAAATTTATATTGATTAGATTTAATACTTTCCAAATAAAATAAAAAGGGTTAAAGGATTTTTAAAATTTTAAATTAAATATACGAATCTTTTTATAAATGAAAAATAATACAATATTAAAAAATAACAAAACTATAAATTAAAAAAGAATTTAAAAAAATATCATGGACATTTTTTTTCAATAATAAATTCTCCATTATCGTTATATTCTTATTTCGAAATAGACAATTAATTAAAAGAATTTAAACTAGTCAAAATAGATCCCCCAATCCAAACCGAATTTTTTCTATCATCAACAGTAGGATAATAGACATATTTAACTTTATTACATATTTCACCAAGTTTGTTTTAAAACCTTTTTTCCAAATCAAATAAAAGCGCATTTCCCCCTGCTAAAATAACATTACTGCTCATTTATTTTCTTAATTCTGATTCCCACATATTAATGCAGTCTAATACCATTTAATGTATTCCTTTAAACCTTAAAATTTCATTATGAGGATTAAAAAAAAAATCACAAATTTCATTTTAATCAATATTTAATTAAGTCCCATCTGGGAGTACATTTGTATTATTTTCCTTTAAATTTCTTGCTAATAAATGCCTTTAATATCTTTCATAGGATTCAGTGGAATTACATGACAATTTTTATTAAGGAAAATTTTCTAATTGGAGGATTTTCTCAGTAACCTGTTCGCCTCCTATATCGAATTTTAATATATTTTTTTAATGAATATATCCATCATGTACAGGTACTGCCATTGAACAATAAGCACCTATTATTATAATTATTAATTTATATATTTTTTATTTTAAATAAATAAAAAATATTTTTATACCTAAATCTACAACAACACTTGTAGATCTCCCAGCTGAAAAAGAAGATAAAGCGGCGTTTTTCGAAACAAAATATTACGGCACATTAAATTTTTCGAAAATTAATTAACATAATTTTTCTCTTTATTTTTGGTTATGGATTGAGAATTCGGCCATTAATAAAGGATGATCTTTAGATTGAATTTTTAATTGGTTATCATATAATTCTTCTAGTAGTTTTTCATAACCTTCCCAGTTTATTATATCGCCGTTTTTATATACATTTTCTATTTACATTTGGGGGTCTTTCATAAAATTTTTGTCTCCAAAAATATTCAGTTTTTGATTTTTATCTGGATTTTCTTCTTGCATTATAATTTAGTCATTTTCTGGTTGGTTACTTCCTTAATTTTCGTTTTAAGGTTATTATTAGGTTATTCCCATTTATGAACTTATTACATATTTAGGTACTGTATCTCCTGAAAAGCCTGCTTTTGATTTTAATGAACCTATGTCTATTACTATTGATATTGTTTCATCTATTGAATTCATTTATTTTTATTTTATTTAATTAATTTTTTATTATTTATTTTGGATTTTTTTAATTTTTAAATAATTTGTAAAAAAAAAATATTATATCTTTTTTTTTATGATATTTTTATTTAATTTTTTTTTTTAAAAAAAAAAAAAATGTTGTTTTTATAATATTTAAATTTTTTCGTTTGATATTTTTTTTTAATACTTAGTATTTAAATTTAATTTTATATTTTATTTTTAAATTCTATATAAAGAAATTATTACTTTAGTACTTTTTAATTTATATTAATTTATTAATATTTTTAAAAATAATTTCATACACATAATTGAATAAAAATATTTAAATTAATAATTTTATATATTATTATTATATCAAATTAAAATAATTATTTTTAAAAAATAATGTCATAATTAATATCAATATAAACATTATATAATTTAATTTTTTATTTTATTTAATTTAATATAAAATACTTCTTTTTAAATAAGTTTAAGCAAAATTATTTATGATATAATCTATCTAAAAATTTAAATTATTTATATTTTTTAAAATCGAAATAAATTTATTTTATAAGGGATTATATATTTTTTTTCGAAATTTTATATTTGTACTTTTTTATAATATAGTTTAATCAAGTATTAATTTTTTTTAAAAAAAAACTCAATTAATTTAAACATTTTGTAATTTAGAAATTTAAATTAGATTAATTTTAATAAATAAATAAAAATAAAAATAGCATAGAAGAAGAAAAAAATTAATTTAAGAAACAATAAAAAATTATGAATAAATTACCACTAAACAACATAACATTAAAATTTAACAAAAAAAAAATTGAAAATGCCTACAAGCAAAATTATATTAATCAATTTTTATCTTTTTCTTAGTTTTTCATAATAACATTGATAATAAATTCATTGACAGTAGGAATTATAAGCATTTAAAATTACGAAACAAATAAATATGCATACATTTACATATTATTAATAAGTATCTTATATGCGATTCTATTATTATTTTTAAAGAAGTATTATGATATTATCATAAAATTAGTTTTTTTGCTTACACTTATATATGTAGTAACAATAATAGAATTATTAGTATTAATTTAATTAGAATAAAATATAAATAAAGGCTAATATTATTTTTCTGTAGGGATATTAATAATGACGATTTTTTGCATGTTTTCTAATTTATATAATGATTGGTATTTAAAATATATCGTTATTTAATTTGGAATGAGCTACGCCTTTTTTCGATCAAATGGATACTATTAATTAATTTTTAAATGTCCAAATTATTATTTAAGTAGTATTTTTTTATTTGTTATATTTTATTACTAATAAAGGCAGGATAAATCGGCTTATTTTGAATTATATGAAAAAATAAAATAAAATAAAGTTTTCAAAAAACTTTTAGAATAAAATATTCCATCATCAATAATAGTTATTAAAACTAATAATCATAAAAATTAGAAAAAACTTATAATTGAAAATGATTTATTAAAAAATACGGAAATTCTATTTGCTAATGATTTTTCAAAAAGAAAATTCAATATTTAAAATAACGAATAATTAAAATAATGTATGAATAATATTTTTTCTTCTGGATATATTAAATAACACGAAAATGTGTAAAAAAATTATAAATAAATAATTTTATTTACTTTATTTTATTTTTTTAAAAAAGTGATAATCTAAGTTCAAGTTTATAATTTTAAAAAAGCGATAAATCAGTAAATAGTTGCAAATTCAAATCTATTTTAGAATTTATTTATGAATATAACGAAAATTAAAAACAAAAAAAATCCTATCAAGAAATTAAAATGGGTGGAACTTTAGATTTCATTAAAAACGATGAAGAAGTCCATTTAAATTGCTTTTATAAAAAAAATAGTTAATTTTTAGCTAAAAATCAAATTAATTTATAAATAAACAACCTAAAACAAACTAATAAAAGTGCATCTGTTTCCTCAAATAATTTTAAAAACAATCGATTTGACATTAAAATAGTAAAATGTAAATGGGAAAACGAAGAAGCAACAATGATATTAATAAGTGATATAACTTAGAAAGTATATATAGAACGTATGAAATAGATACAAGAATATAAAAATTAAATGCTCTCAACAGTTACTCATAATCTGAAAACACCTTTAAACGGTTTAATGGTATTTATCTAATCAGCCATAATAAATAATAAATAAAAGTCTGTATAAGATTAACTATCATTAGCTTTGAAAAATAGTAAGTTGTTGCTTTTTATGATTAATGATTTATTAGATTATTCAAGAATGTAAAGTTAGAAAGCCTTTGATTTGTGTTTTAGTAAATTTGATATTTATGATGTTTTGTATGAAATTAAAAGTTTATTATAAAGTTAAATTAAACAGAAAAAACTCAATTTTATTATCGATATTTAAATTTCGGAATAATAAAGATTTATTATAAATGATAAAGTTCGATTGTAATAAATTCTTTTAAATTTTATACAAAACTCAATTAAGTTTACATTGAAAGGGTAAATAAAAGTTACTGTTTATTGCATTCCATAGAAAATTAATTAAATCTATTTTAGTATTTTAGATACTGGAATAGGTGTTTCCGAAAATAAAAAATAAAATTTGTTTAAAATATATGGTAATGCTTTATTTAATATAAAAAATAAAAAGCATGGTAATTAAAAAAATATATATATAAATAAAACATATTTATATATATATATATTTAAATATATATATATATATGTATTTAAATTTTTTAGGAGTTGGATTAGGATTATCTGTATGTAAAAAATTAATAAGTTAATTAGGTGAAAAAAAGTCAATAAGTGTCGAAAGTATTAAGAATAAAGGAACAAAATTTACTTTTAGTATATATAAAAAACACCCTAAAGATAATAAATTTATTATGAATTTAATTTCTTATAGTTCTTTACATGAAATTTAAAATAATCTTTTTATTCATAAAGTTTAAAATAACTATAGTATGTAGTCTACTTATTTTAACAAATATGATACATCATTAAATAAAAATTCTGAACCATAATCAACTTTATCAGAACATAAATAATAAATAAACATTCCTCAATAAAAAGAAATGTGTCATATATGTGATTTAGATTGTATCTTAAAATGTACTATCTAAAAATAGAAAAATATTATATAAGACAAGTATACCCTAAACACAAAAGATTCTCTGACCATTCATCAATGTATTTTAGAACTTTAAAAGATTTTTTGGAAAAAAACTAACATTCTAATTGTTGATGATGTTATTTGTAATATAACTTGTTTGAAAATTCTTTTAAAACCTTTAAAAAATTTAAATATTGACGAGGCTTATAATGGAAAAGAAGCTGTGGAAAAAATATAAAAAAATAATAATTACGATTTGATATTTATGGATATTAATATGCCGATATTAGATGGATTTTAAGCTACTTTGAAAATTAAAGAAATGATAAATAATAAAAGTATTAATTTTACATCTGTTATTATTGTTTCTGCTTTTAATGATTAAGCTGATATTGAAAAAAGTTTTAAAATGGGAGCTAGTGAATACATTTCGAAACCTATTTAAATTTAAAATTTATTGTCTATATTTTAAAATATTAAACTGCCTCATTTATAAATTTGAATATTATTTATAATTTTTTATAGTTTTTTATGTATTTATAAGTTTCATTATATTTTTAAAGTTATATTATTGTATTTTTTTCCATTTTTTATATTCTCAAGTATTTATTCATTTATATTTTATAATGTTTCACGAACATCTTTTATATTGACTATTGCAATTTCTATTTTTTATAAAAAAATAAAAATTATTTATTCTAAAAAGTAAAAAATAATATTTTAATATAAAATAAAATAAAAAGAATATTAAAATAAAAAATAATTATAAAATTAAAAAATGCATATAGAATAAAATTAATTTCAAAAAAATACATTTTAATAAAAAAGTTAATTCTTTAAGTATAAAATCATCTTAATTTCCAAAAAAAGGCTAAATAAGAATCGAGTTTTCAATAAAATTTTCTATATTAAAAGGATTATTATCTATTATAATACATTTTTTTGTATTCTTTGTAACTTTAAAAATATCTTTTTAAGAATTTTAAGAATCATAAAATCTTTATGAAATTAACTTTTTAAAAGGATCAATTTTATTAATAATAAAATCACTATATTCAGAAATTGTACAAGAATAAATAATTATTTTATAAAAATTTGATAATTCTTACAAAAAGAAATCTAAGTAAGGTCTGATTAAAAAATGCCCCTGATGTTTTGAAAGTTCCTCATAATGTACTATTGTTTCATCCAAATCAAGTATTAAAGTAAATTTTTTTTCCTTTTATTGATTAATTTCATGATGAAAAATACTTTCTATTTGATAGTTTTAGTTAAGTAATTGAAAGTATTTGGGCTTTTTTTATATTTTTTATTCTATATTTAAATATATTTCAGTAAAAATTAATTTAAAATCTATAAAAGAAATACTTTAAGTAAAGTTACTTATTGTATTTTAAAATATATTAATTATTTTATTCTATTAAAATTAATTATCAAGATCAAATAATTATTAAAATAAATTTAGAATTTTCAAGTTATTAATTTTTATTTTTTCAAGAATTTAATTTTCAGTAAAAATAAAATCAGTTTGTAAATTTTAATAAAAATAAATACAAAAATTAAGATATTTTATATATTTTTATTAATTAGTTTACAAAATTGAATAAAATAATTCTATTAATAAATAATTAGTATTTTTTACATATTCTAAAATTAAATAAAAAATTTTTTCGTTTATTTAATTTAAAAAATGGCTTTTTTCATTAAAATAATAAAAAGAAAAGAAAAACATTTTTTCGAAAAAAGAGGCTTTTTTGTATTTTTAGTTTATTTTTGGAATTTATCCAAAAATAAAATTTAAGTCTTGATATGTTTTTTCTTTATATTTTTCTATATATTTTTCTGTTAAATTTATTATTTTTTCAGTATTATTGAAATTCTTGTTATAATTAAAATTTAATATTTTATTTTTATTTTTTTTACTTCAAAAATTTAATTTAATAAACTTTAAATGAAAAATAAATTATTAAATTTTACTATTTTGCTAAAGTCATATTAATGATTATTAATAATATTTTAATTTTAAATATTTTTATTTTGAATGCTGTTTTCTTAATTTTTAATTTCTCGTTAAATAGAATTTTTTTATAATTAAAATTAAATTTGTTATAAAATTTTTTATTATTCCTATTCATATTCTTAAATTAGTATTTATTAAAAAATAGGTATTTTTTTTTATTTATTTATTAAACGAGCATTAAACTATTTTTAAACTATTTTTATTTTATTTTTAGGTTATATTCGAAATGATTTTTCATTCTCTTAAACATTTATTTTATTTAAAGAACGACATTTTGTAAAATTTAAAGTAAAATCTTTTTTATTATAAAAAATATTATAAAATTATATTATTTATCTTGTTAAAAAAATACCATTTTATTTATTCACTATTTTATATGGAGAAAAAAATGTTTTATTGAATTTATCATTTTTTATTTTTATAGGAGACTTTTTAATAGAAATTTTAGGGATTAACTTTTGTGTACAATTATTATTATCAAAAATATTTTAAATACTTTCTAAAATAATAATTTTTTTTTTATCTTAATACATAAAATATAAGTTATTGTTAATATATATATATATATTTATATTTATTTTTACTTCTTTTAAATTAAATTATATTTAAAATAAATATTTATTATCATAATTTTTAGTTTATTTTATAAAAAATTTTCATTCATATTTTTTCTAAAAAATTAATTTTTTATTTAATTAATAATAATAAATTTAAATAATTTATTACATTTAAAATAATTATTTATATGATATTAGAAATAATTGTATATTATATATATATATATATATATATATATAATATAATATATATATAAATATATTTATTATTATTAGATATTTATGGTATATTAATTATTATATATATTATTCATACTAATAATCTTTTTAAATATATTATCAAGATTACATAATCTAAGTAAATATTTTTTACAATATAATTGATATACCTATAAAAAATATAATTTTGAATTTTATTTTTATTATATTATATTATTGTTTTTATTTTTATTTTAAAAATTTTTATATATAAATACATATTTAAAATATTTTTTATTTACATCTATATTTTTTCTCTATATTATACTAATATTTTAAACATTTTAAATTTAATTTTTTTTATATTTTATCAATTAAAAGATTTTTATTAAAATTTTTATAATTAATTTTAATATATATTTATAAAAGCCCAGGGTTTTAATATTATCTATTAAAAAAACTATTTTTTTAAAATTAAAAATATTAATTTTCTATATATAAAAAACATCTTATTTTAATTTTTTTTCTAAATTTTTATTTTTTATATATTTAATTTAAAAAGGAAAATCTTCACCAATTAATAAAAGGATCATCTTAGCTTTATATAGCCTTTGGTAATTCAATCGAATCAGGATAACTTCCATAATTCTAAGTATCGTTTTTACCTTTAATTATAGGTTTATATATTGCTTGAATTTTTTATTAATTTAATGCATCCCAATCTATATCTCCAAACCATCTATGTGTTTTGATATCACTAACTCCTCCTTTTAAATTCCCATATCTTTTAGTCAAATCAGCCACTAATAAATGCTTAACTAAACTTTTAGCGTTTCTATAATAAAATATGACTTAACAAAAATTAAAATATATATATACTTATCAAAATTTTTTGGAAATTTTACTTTTCCTTTTAAAATTTTTTAATATATAGCCATTGGATCTTCGTCATTAAAAGGATCAATTCCTAATTTTTATATATATTAAATTAATATTCACATTAATTTATTTATATAACCTGCTAACATTTCATATATAAGTATTCCAAGGCACCACCAATCAACAGGTTTTCCATGTCCTTTATTAAGTAGTATTTCAGGAGCTAAATATTCAGGGGTTCCACATAATGTATATGTGCGAGAATCGCAATATTTTGCAAAACCGAAGTCTGTTAATTTTAAATAACCGTTTGCACCTATAAGTATATTTTCTGGTTTCAAATCTCTATATACGATATTTATTCCATGTAAATATTCAAACATAGATACTCTTTATTTTTTTTATTTAATAATTTTTTATTTATAAATTAAAAGATTATTATGGTTGATTTATATATATATGTCAATACTATTTTTAATATTTTTTTACACTTGTGCACCGTAAAACAAAGATTCATTATTTTCAAGTTTTCCTTTGTTTCTTAAATAAGTAAATAATTCTCCTCCTTATATATATTCTAATACAAAATATAAAAATCTATCATCTTAACAAAAACCTAACATTTTTATCTTTTTTTTTTTATTATTATTATTTTAATTATTTACAAGAAATGGATGATTTATATTTGATAAAATAGTGTTTTCTGATATAATATGATCTACTTATTTTAACCGCAATATCTCAGCTTTTTTAAGCATTTTTAAAGCTACATATTCCCCTGTTGATTTTTATTTAGCTAATCTTACTCTACCAAATGAACCTTTGTTATTTTTTTTATTTTTTTTTTATTTTTTTTACCTGTTCCTAGAGTTTGCATAATTTCAAAATCACTTAGTTTTATTTAATTTAATTTAAATGATTCCATTGTAATTTATAGAATTTTATATTTTAATATT